TTTGAATCTGCCCTCACTCTCTCTCTCTCTCTAAGATTCGCTTCAGCTGCTGCTGGCTCGTTATAAGAAACGAAAGTCAGAACATTAATTTAGGACACCTTTACAATGAAGGTGACTGCTGGATAGGATACGAATGCGTCCTTCCGATGCACTGTGCTGCACCCGCTAGCATCATGTCTGTCCCAATACCAGACTACTCTGTTGTCGAACCAAGAATTGTGCTCTCTACCAGCAGCAATGCAAAACAAGTACGCATTCAGCGGCAGCCGAACATGCTTCTCGAGCTTGACAGCATTTTGGATGCTATACTGTTCATAACCTGCTTGAACTAAACAGCAAACCTGCCGGAAGGAAGTGCCACCTGTGGCCAACAGCACTTGCTTCTCAAGTGCCCATTTTACACTTGGCTTTGCCAAGGCAAAGGGCTCGAACAAAATCTCAAAAATCATAGCGCAAGGGCTCAAGACATGCACTCCTGCTGCCAATACGCCTGAGGCCTACAACAGCAACGACCTTGCCACGACACCGCCGCCACTCCTCCTCCTCCTCCTCCTTTAGGGTTAACATTGGGATAATATAGGGTAATATAGATTATATAGGGATAATGGAAAAGAAAATGGAAACTACTATTTAAGGTTTAGGGTTTGAGGTACTACTTGTTCTTTCCTCCTCCTCATCATCATGATCATCACTGTCATCGTCATAATCATCATCATCATCACCATCATAATCTTGCAAGAGCCTAAAATTCCGAAGACCATTTGGAGGGTTCATACTCTCACCTCAAGTACTGTATGTGGATATCTCCAAGGACGTCTGCCAGGGTTGCTCTTAATCCTCTTGAACTGAACGATGATTCAAGAAGCCTGCGCTGTCCAAAAAAGATCCTGAAAGAGAAATCATGTGAGCTACAGTCAATATTTCCTACTTAATCCACTGTACACGGGTTCCTTATTATGGACTATGCACTCTTCATGGTCCTTTCACCTATCGACAGTAGCCCAAGTCAATGCGACCAAGGCTTCCCAAGCAGTTCGAGCCCATAAGGCTTAGTAGTAATTAAACAGGTACAAGGTACAAGCAACAAAGCTGTAGTCAGTTGGGGGTACAGGTACGTCCTAGTGAGCGTTCAAATCCGGCAACAAGAAGCATCCTCGCTGAAGGTGTCTCACTTTCAGTATTAGTCTACCCTGGCTGTCGCGATGTGGTCAAAAACGTCAAGCGGTTCTCTGCGTATGAAGATCAAGACAGGCTAGCAGCGCATGTTTCAAATCCAAAAACGCTGCCACGGCCTTACAGAGACCCATGATCATACATCAAAGCTCTGCTGACTCTTCAAGCCCTTGCAGAATCGCTGGCGGAGGTGGCTGAAATTCAAATCTCATTCCCCTCCGCTTCGCGGCAAGTCCAGTTCAGCGGGTCTCGAAAACGGAAACCTTCCTATAAGGTAAAAGACCTTGAGATTGCTGTCACTACTACTATTATCGTCAAAAGATATTTCTGTTGTCTGTCATGTGTAGCAACCTTCGAGCCAGGTTTCAAGGCAAAGGCACTTAATTAAGGGGCTCCAGGTTCGTGAGTCGGGCCTCTGAGACCTAACATACCTACTGGGAACATCTGAGCTATAGTCTAAACTCTTAGTATCCCCATTAATAACACCTATAATACTCCCCTATATAATCCCCATAGCTAAGCCCCTTGTACGCCTTTAGACTATAGCTCATCTGGGAAGTCGATCTTAGCTTTAAAGGGTTCCTAGGAATTAGCCGGCAGCAGCAGCAAAGCGTACCACATTGGGGGGTCCAACTTTTCTCTCTGATGACAATCATCCCAAGCCACCCGCCCCAGTATGCTGAAGCACCTAAGCCCACACAGGCTTTGGGGTGTTGGGGTTTACGGTTTAGGGTTCCGAAGCCTTAGATTCTACAGCTGGAGCAATGCTTGACGCATACCGCAGTGTTGGGGGCTCAGGACTAAAAGCAGCCCATGTCCTTCTTGCTGAGTTTACGCACTGATGAATTAATGAAATCTGGTTTAATGCAAGATCAAAGCGGGCAACGGGCGAGCAAGTTTGAAGACCTTAACTCCCAAAATGAAAGCAGGCAGCAAATCCGAAACCTAGACGTCTCAACCCTGAAAAGCGCAATCCATTTGTTCCTCCAAAAGCAAGAGTACAGCGACAACACTGTTTAAGAAATCATTGGTTTAAGAAATTGAGCACCTCGGCGGCTTCGAAAATATATATATATACACATATAAATATATGCAAACATAAATTAAGAGATCGAGGGTACCCTGATCTCGCGGGAGACACTTTCTTAATTTATTCTGTTGTTGGCTTGATTTCTGAATTTGGCCGTTTTTTGAAATCTATCAATTTTGGTTGAAATTGATAGAAATGATTAGAGATGGTCCAATGCCCCCCCAAACCCTTAAGCCCTGAATACCTTAAGCCTACACCCCAAAACCCCTAAAACCCCCTAAACCCTCAAACCCCTAAACCTTAAACCCTAAAACCCCTAAACCTTAAACCCTAAAACCCTAAACCTCTAAACGCTAAAACCCTAAACCCAAAACTCGTATCCCTAAAACCCCACTAAACACTAAAACCCCACTAAACCCTAAAACCCCACTAAACCCTGAACCCAGCACTGGCTTTCCGCAAGCTTTGGCTCATCCCCGAGTGCAGCGTAGGATGCCTTGGGTCTGAAAGGCTCTAACCCTTGTATTAGGGTTTAGGGTTTTAGGGCTTTGGGCTTGGGTTTTTGGAGATTAGGGTTTTCGGGTTTAGGGCTTTGGGGTTGTAAGTTGTAGCGTTTAGGGTTTTAGGGTTCTGGGCTTAGGGGTTTGAAGAATAAGGTTTAGGGTTTTAGAAATCAGGGCTATGGGGTTTTGGGGTTTAGGATTTTAGGGAACTTGGTCCTGCCCCCACCCATTAGCAGTGAGGTTGAGAGGCTCTATATAGTCAGACAGTCATATGATAAATATTGTGCCTGCTAATGAGTGGGGGCGGTATCAAAACCTAATCTGGTTACATTCCAGACATGAAAAATATTCTGGTACCGCGGGTTCTTGCAAGATAAAACCTACGCACAGAACCTGTGCAATCTTACACGCATGGGCTTTCTGCTTGGGCCGCGCTCTGCCTGTTCCAACATCGACACTGCGCAAACATGTGCAAACGAAACATCTGACACAACAACTCCCACCGTAGAAGCTCAGCTAGATGCATTACACAAGTAGCTTCAGCAACGTCCGACACAAACCTGCGCAAAACTTGCACGCCACATAAACTTGCGCGAGCTTACACGACCCTTACCTGCGCAGAGGAACAACCTGCGCGGATCCTGGCCTGTGGCACTTTCAATTTGTAAGCTACCACATAGCCGTTTCTTCGCTGCACGTTTAAGGTCGAGGTGCAGGGTTTAGTTTAGCATGTAAGCGGTAGGGCATAGGGCTTTGGGCATGAGATGCAGGGTTTAGGGTTGCAAGGTTAGAGGTTCAGAGTTTAGGGAATTGGGTGCTTGGAGTCTAGGGCCTTGGGGTGTGGACTTGTAGACCTACTGTATGTAAAGCCAACTTCTTATAGATACACACACAATCTCGTATGTTTGGAAATACGCATCTGTGGCGCACAGTCGCGCGGATAGCACACTCTGCAGACAAGAATTGAAATCCCTGGCTGCACTTGCCTGACTGATAGCTGCTGACAAGTGATGTCCGCTGGACACGATAATCAAAGAGAGAAAGGAACTGCCTTCTACTTGGACTGAGTGTCTTAACAACAGACCCTCATCAGTAGGCCGTGAAACATCCGCATTCCTTGAGGTCCGAACCTTGTTCCAACACCAATCCCACATCTTACGTCCCCAAGCTTGGGTCAATCCCGCACCCAGTAATGGGTATCACAAGGGAATACTGCGGGCATATTACAGCTATTCTTAAATACGTGTTAATGAGCTAAACGCTTTCCCCTAATATTAAACCCCCCCACCTTTCCTGATATCACATGCTCCCCATGGTGGTATGTTATAGTATATTGGGCATATTTAAGATTAGGGGGGTTTGGGGGGTTCAATGTTAGGGGGATTGTTACTATAGCAAGCTTGATGCTTGTGCGTAGGGAATGGAGGAATCCAGCCCTATTGCAGCCCCTAGACAATCCCCGATACTCAAGTAGTTGTCATTTCCTCTTATATTCTCCTATATGATATAACCCTGTATAAGACAACATTCACTTGTGTTTTCCATGTTTGATTTTTGATTTGATTCGTCAAATGGTAATAGTTTCGGTTTTCTTTTCCGATCCCCTGCATAGTCCTGTATGTTCCTTACTAGGCCCTACATATCCCTTCATTTTTTTGGACAACTGGCAAACGACCCAGGCGATGGCAGCCTTCTAGCTCAGCTCAAGATCCACAGGGCCTCAACGAGCTACAGTCTCCTAGTATCCCCCTTAATGTCCCCTGCAATAGTCCTCCATATACTCCCCTATATAACGCCCTTGAAGGAGTTTAGACTACAGCTCAAATAGGGTTTAGGGTTTAGGGCTCTAACAAAAGTGAGCACTGCCTATATACACTACTACAGAAGTCCCGTGTAGATGAGCATGTCCAAAAAAGCAGAGCTCCCCTTCTGTACATGAATACTACAACCCTTGTTGACGGGACTCCCCGTAGAAAGGGACCCCTGTTTGTTGGAAACCCCAAACAATTCAGATCCCAACATGTGTTGTAAAGAACTCTATACGCTCCACTTAAACCCCTTCTTCCCGCCGACAAATCCCCATGCAATCCCATAGCCCTCTAACCTCCTCCGGCGCTTGAGACTTGCGGACTACAAGTCCGATCCACACACCCAATAATTTTCCACCATGAGCCCTCTATCAGGGTTTTGGGTTCAGGGTAGACCCTGCGCCCTGAACCCAAACACCCCCAGCCCTAGACCCTGTGCCCTTCACCCTTCAATGCAGAAGTCTTTCGACAAGGGGCCTGATGCGTTTACACATCCGGTGCTCTCGGACCCCGGTTTCGCTGGGAGACCATCAGCTCGTTGACCTGAGCTGCACGACTTCCAGGACTTGGGGTTAAACCTCTATACACTTGTTGGGATTAAGGCAAGATGGTAGAAGCAATTCGAGAAAGCAATACGGAATAATCATCTGAATATTGATTACAACTGGATGACCCTGCTCCGCGGAGAAGTCACAGCGCTTGTGGAAGCAATAGCTAGGTCACAGTCTTGCTGCTCATGCACGGGTTCGCGCTGGAGAACCCGATACTCCCAAACCCCAAACCCTAGGCCCTGGGAGTTGGGCTAAGATTCAGGGTTCCCGGAAGCTCTCATGAAGTAAAGTCGGGCAGGAAGCAGTTACAAGGCACCAAACCTTCTCCAAGTGGCAGTTTCCCTAACTAAGGCGGACCCCAATATCGCACCAACATATTGTGATCCGTTATTGTGGCGAGCCCCGAAAAGGTTCCCCTAGCTTCGAGAAATCCACAATTGTTCGATGCCAACACCGCTGGAAAAGAGCGCTGACTTGAGGTTAGCGTTCGAGGGCATAGCCTTAGCTGCCTTAGCTCTCACAGCATGAAGACAAAAACTTTGGCTGAAACGCTGCAGCTTTACACAAAACATGAGAGACGTGAGTTGGTTGAGTACAAAGTTCACTAAACCCAAAACAATAAACCCTACCAACATGAAGCCTCACTGCCCCCTTGGTTCCCCATGTAGTAATGTGATCATTTTTTTCTGGGGGGGGGTTCCACTCTTTGGATCCTCTGGGGGGTCTGGGTTTCGGGTTCTGACCTAACCCCAGAGGAACGCTAAAAATGATGAAGCCCTCAACCCTAAACCCTAAACCCTAAACCCCCAAACCCCTAAACCCTAAACCCTAGACCCTGAAAGCAAAGCCCTGCTTCCCACTGAGGTGGACACCTTCTCAATGTACGGGCGCTCGGTGACCTATTGGTGGTTGATCCCCAGCCAGTTGCTCTTGGTTTAGGGCGTAGGGGCTTTTCGGGTTTGGGTTTTGGACTGCAGGGCTTGGCGGGGTTTAGGGTTTAGAGTTTAGGGCGAGGACATCTAAGTCACTGTCGGGAGTGTACCCCAGGGGTCCTTTGGCAAACTTGGGTACCATCATGCTTTTTCTCATACTATTGCCATGCAAAAGCAGTTTTAGGAGATTGCTTGGGGCAACGAAGACATGCGTAACAAGAATGTCTCATTGCGAGTGTAAGGATGTCGAAGCACAGGGATGTGGGCACCGGTGGAGTTTAGGGTTTAGGATTGTTTAGGATTCAGGGACATTAAAGCAATCGGTGCTCGCAAGTACTGGAGAACCCTCATATCGGGGCAACATCTGCAATGTAGAAGCCCAGATGCTTTACAATATCATGGTCCTAGATTCCTTGTATAATTACGGTATGGGGTACTCAACACAGGCCTGAACATGAGTTTGGCCCCTACATGCCATTATCCCCATCAACCCTAATTACCCAAAGCCAGTTTCCATTGCATGTTCCATTTTATTCTCCATTTGATTCTCCAATTGAGTGAGGCTAATAGTGTCCTCAGTGAAGCCAGGGTGCGGCAAAGAGGTAGATGCCAACAGCACGACCCGCTGTGAATCAGCCCCAGACTTGACATGGTAGTTGTTCCAAACAACTGTCCTCGAAATGGCCATAAGGTAGTTGCCTTCTGCGTTAGGACTTCCTTTTAAGGAAGTGTATTCCAACAGTCTCTGCTTTGTAAGGCTTTATAGAACAACCCAAATCAATAAACCCTAGTCCCTAAACCCAAATCCCTCTGTATCATTTTAACCGCTATATATGATCCCCATAGTCCTCCTTCACATGACCTTTAGAACAACCCCCCTGCGTGCTTCTGTACTCTTGTGCGCCTTGGCGTACTCATAGTTGCCCCTGAAGACTGCCTGCAACCACCGGGTCAGTTTTCACAGTTGGGAGGCTTGTGTAATTCATGGCCATCTATGCTGGCTTCGTACCAGGGCTTAGGGTTTAGGTCGAGGTTGGCCCGGCACATGCATAATGGCTGTCTGCATGTCAAGGCATCCGAACATACAAGTGGGAGCGTCTAAACAAAATGCCGTAGGCAAGGAATTACCCCGGACCAGCTCTTACAAGTCGCAATACCTACTATTTGCCTAAGATAAGAACCCCTTAAATAATAGAAAATAATAATCTCTATATGACCCTTGTAAGGAAGCATGTTTTTGGGGGTGGTTCTTAAGCAAATAGTAGATACCGCTCCCTTGGATAGAGCTCCTGACCTTGAAGGAGTGGAGTAGAGAAACCAGTGCCAGAGATTGTACCGAGACTATGATATGTCGGGATCCACCATTTCCCAACCTGAGCCCTAAGCCACACCTTAATTGGGGACATGCAATTCCCTTTGCTGTTTGAGGTCTTTAGCAGAAGTTGCTGGGAAACCCATCATCCGGCCGTATTAGGCGTAGAGGTATGCAGTTCCCTTACTTGATCAAAGTAATGACTAACTAATGCTTCCCTCAGATCTCGAACTCCCCAGACCACACCGCCTACCCACGTAGGAGATACCACGCACTAGCCCATGTGATTCGAGATCCTCCCGTTCTTGAGAAGACACCTTAAGCCATACCTAGTGGTTTCCATTTCCTTGTTCATTCCTCCGTTCCTTACTAACAGGCAGGAAGATAACGTAAACCCGGTATGAGCTATAAACTGAAATCCTAGTATCCCTCCCCAAGTAAGCCCTAAAATACTCCCCTATGTAATCCACTCTTGAAAGCCCCCTAGACTGCAGCTTATATGTCCGTATAAGCCGCCAGTTTCCTTTTCGCATTCCGACTGCCTTTCTACTTGATTCGCCCTTCTTGGTAAATTGTTTAGTCTCTGAGCCCGCATTCGAAACTCTATACATCCCTGTATACCTTATTATGGAGCCCCACCCACAAGTTACAGGAGGCCTGCTGGGGTGTAGTAGTAAAAGCTCTCTACACATCAGGACGTCATACGGTTTAGGATTTGCGGTGTTGAGGGCACCCTTACCCTGTTTATCGAATGTCGGACCCATGTTTTTAGGGCTCTTTTTGGGAATATTCAATGCCAACCTCCGGATACTCCCAAATCCCCAAACCTGACGGTTGACTGCTTGAAGGTGTACAAATCACGGCCTAGAATTTGCGGGTGGCACTTTACTGAAGCCCCAGTGCCCCAGTGCCCTTATGCAACCACAAAAAAAAATCATGGTTATCCCCCCAGCCCCCGAACCTTCAACCCCGAACCCAAGGAGGTAGGGTCAAAGATGCCAACATAAAACCCAGTACTATTGTTAGAATGACTATAGTTACCATTATTACTACTTACGTTATTACTACTATCATTGCTAGCATCACGAAAAAACTTGAAGAGCAAAGGTTCTTTTTGAACAAGCCTTTTCGGAGAGCAGGGTTTAGCTTTTTAGGTTGAGGGTTGTGGGGTTTAGGGTTGTTGGGTTTATTGTTTGTAGAGACAATCGTTTCCTTGAGGTCCCATCTTGAACGTGGGGATCTCGGCGAGGCACCGTTTAGGGGTTAAGGGTTTTAGGGTTTTAGGGTTTAGAGTCTAGGGTTTAGGGGTTAAGGGTTTAGGGCTATGCGCAAACGCTGAAAACACGTCCAGCCACGTACATCCGTCGAAACCACCAAAAACCCAAATTTCTGCCGGAAACCTGGTGCTTCGAGTGGATGTAGTGCATGAGCATGCCTGCTCCAGGAGGAGGTGTCGATAAGCTTCATGGGATGCTACACTCCCCCAAACTAACATGGAAACCCATATAGCCCCATTTTAGAGGGACTGTAGTCTTTATAGGGCCTTTTTTGGGTTTCCATGTTAGTTCCCAGGAGTGTGTCAAAAAAGTTGGAAGCATGGGCCCTGGAGAGGGGCCATCAACCGCACGGTTTTAGCAACATCTACCACCCTTTTTAATAACTCTATACATCCCATAATTACTCGACGCCCAAGATTTGTTTGACCTTTGTGTCCACGATTTTATAATGATTTCGCGGGGTACCTCCTGGGCTTACAGGGACATTAAGTACACATGGCTTTGGTCTTGATAGGCGGCGCGAGAGAATAACCCTGACATGGGTTCTAGCTATGGCTATACCTTCAACTACCGCGGTTTAGGGTTTAGGGTTCAGGGCTTGGGAGCTTCAACTACCTACCTAGCTTTTTCCTGGGAATCATGTTTGGTCATTGCCCATGGCAGCCTATGAAGAGCTCTTTCAGTCGCGCCTAAATACTGTGGATCCAGAGCTTAGGGTTCCGATGCTACGGGATGGCCACGCTCTGAGGTCAAAACACCAACATCGTGCGATAAATCTCTATTACTGTTACTGCTCGTATTATTATCATGATTATTATTTTTACTCTTGCTTTATTACTGTTACTGTTGTTATTGTTAATACTATGGCCACTATTACCCCATTCATGAAACTGGGTGATCATTTCACACGGGCGTCCGAAATGGTTCCCAGACACGGCGCATGGGGCGGTGCCCAGGTTCAGTTGCAGCACAATCTGGAGAATTCTCAACCTAGACCCTCCTCCCCACTATTGGGACCATATATCCTTTAGGTGGACCCCCCACCCAGTAATAGTGACTATTATGGATAATAAGGTTTTATTAGGGCCCTATTATATTCCTAATATGCCACTATTAC